ACGATCGGGTATAACCCATGGACACTCTGGGACTTTGAAGCCTTGAATTTGTTTCGAGGTTGTTGCGCTCTGGTAGTGACCCCAGGAGCCAGGCAGCACAAACTGAGACATCAGAGAATCTGAAATTACATTAGCGTTCCATATGAGTCTGCAGGTCATTAGTGACCTGGAGAGATCAATGACCAACCACAAACTCCACGGAGGGGACTCATTCTACTGCCCTGGGCGGTGACATCAGGAAGACCCTCCTGCAAGTATGAGAAAGCCCTTCCAGGAGGCTGCGGTGTGAAGCGCGGGAGGAGGAGTCTGAGTCCAGCAGGGGGCGCTGTGGGCCTGGTCCTGAGAGCTCAGGGTCCTGGCCAGGCAGGCTGGCACCTCCTCCCCTGGCTCTTGCCCACGGGGGCAGCAGGGTCATCACTGGAGGGTGACGTTCCTGCACCTGGCCCCCAGAAGACACGACAAATCTCAGCTCAGAGATACAGGCTTGCCTCTCAGTTCCTGCTCCTCTGTCTTGGGATCAGTGCCCAGACCTGACATCCAACCAAGGACAGAGGGACGGTCATACAACAGAAATGAACTTCCTTCAGTAACCTCGACCTCCAGGGATACCTGGACAGGGGATGAGAGAGCCCTGCAGAGGGGCTGCCCCATTGCCCACAGAACGCCCGGTGTTCACAGTGGGAGAGGGATGCAGGCACGGACACTTTGTCACCGCCTATGTCATTTAAACATGTTCCCTGTTGTGTTATTTGGCAGTTTCAACATTTTAGAGTGAACTATGGAGACTGGTATTGTTTCACTTTTTGTGGCTCCCTTACTCGTTCCTTCCCTTTATGTTCATACTTTATATTAACACTTGTAACATGAAATATATGAAATCACAAAGCTCATTAATCAGGGAATAAAACATGAATACCAAATAAAAGCTTTACCTCACACTGAGATAAGCACCAATTTTGTTCCTCATCTTCCCCAATTATTTCAGAGAGTCTATGCTCCTGCTTAATCTTCTTATACCCAGCACAGCAGAAAGTCAATTGAAGGAAGTTTTAAATGTTTCATGTTTGCACCGAGGTGTTCACACACTGTTACTTTTATTTTCCATCATGAGACACATGTTTTCCTGAACTGTTAGGTCTGATATTGCCCAGGATGTCACAATTTCATAGTGACACTGTGAACAGTCCCCTCAAAACCTGAAGTAAAATTAATTCCTTATGATAGAAGCTTCTTGAAAAAAAGGAGGCTGTCACCCCAAGCTTGGCTATGCAGCTCGACATGTGAGAGTCCCTCAGGCCTGCTCCCGCACTGCTGCTCCTGGGACAGAGACCAGAGCTGAGTCAGGGGAGACGCCTGTCCCCTCACACCCCACACGGGCTGCGCTGTCCCGGTGGGCTCTGTGCTGCAGGAAGGGTGACTGCTAAGGCCCTGCAGAGAGCGCAAGCAGGGGTTTCACTGAGGAAAGAAGAAACGTCCCAGGGATGGGGGGAGCTGTGGGGTGGACGAGACTGTGGGCAGGAGGTGAGGACTCCCCGTCTCCTCCTGCAGCCTCAGACTCTCCAGGGAGGAGCTGGAGGACCCAGGGCGCCAGGGTCATGGGGAACACTTGGTAAAAGGTACTTTTCCATCACTCACATCTCCTCCATGTGCTGTCCCAGGTCTGCGCGAAGTCCAGAGAGTGCCTCCTTCACGACTAACATGCCGTGGGACTAACATGCTGAGGGGACCTCAGGTGACCTGGGCAGGGAGAGGCGGGAAGTGATTTGCATGAGGCCCCTCCTCCCCCTGTCGGGCTGGAGGCATGAAAAGGCCCAGGACCCCACCTCCAGCCCAGGAGGCTGAGAAGGCTGCGTCCCGGGAGGGTCCCCACCATGGCCTGGATGGTGCTTCTGCTCGGGCTGCTGGCTTACGGCTCAGGTCAGGGTCCGAGTTGCATCCTTGGGGCACCTCCAAGCGGAGTCTCAGGATCCCTGTCTCCATAAGAATCCCTGTCTCTCTCTTGTGGCTCTTAGGTGTGGATGCTCAGACTGTGGTCCAGGAGCCAGCAATGTCAGTGTCTCCAGGAGGGACGGTCACCCTGACCTGTGGCCTCAGNACCCTTGGGCCACCTCCACGCAGGGTCTCAGGACCCTTGTCTTGATAATAACACCTGTCTCTCTCTTGTCACGCTTAGGGGTAGATGCTCGGACTGTGGTCCAGGAGCCAGCACTGTCAGTGTCTCCAGGAGGAACGGTCACCCTGACCTGTGGCCTCAGCTCTGGGTCAGTCACGACCAGTAACTACCCCGGCTGGTTCCAGCAGACCCCAGGCCAGGCTCCCAGAACTCTAATCTACTATACAAACAGCCGCCTCCCTGGGATCCCTGATCGCTTCTCTGGCTCCATCTCTGGGAACAAAGCTGCCCTCACCATCACGGGGGTCTAGCCTGAGGACGAGGCTGTCTATTACTGTGCTATATACACCGGTAGTCACAATAATACCACAGTGATGCAACCTCATGGGGAAGCACTACCAAAACCTGCCCTTGTGCTCAGAGGACTCAGCGCTTCGAGGCGGGAGAGGCAGAGAGAGGGTGGAAATGCTCAGCAGCCCGTGGGGAGNCAGGATCCCCGTGGGGAGGGAGGCGCTGGGCCCCGTCTCCTGTCCACTGCTTCATGGCCCCGAGTCTCCTCCCAGCTCTCCCCGGCTGTGTCCATCTCTCCAAGGGGAGCCCTCTCTCTCCATGTTGCTGGGAAGGAGGCTTAGCTCCACAGGGAGACTCAGACCCCCACCACTGCCAAGAGGACTCTTGTCATTCAAATCACACTAAGAGATGTCCAGCATCATGAACTTGATCTTGCAGATAAATTAATATTCCATTTGCCTGAAGAGACAGCACCAGTGGAATAATCTAGAAATGCAATTTCCCAACTAGAGCTCCTGAATCACAACCTTTTGTTGGTGGCAGGAATCTGTGATTAACATGAAACCACGCCCCCCCCAAATATTTAGGAACATCAAAGTTCCAGATGTATGTCTTTTATTATGAAATAACCCCTAAGAATTTTCTTACGATTCAGTCCAGACATGTTAATTCCCCATAACACATTCACTCCCAGTTCATGGACAAAATCCAAAACCCCAGAAACGCAATTCACATCTGAAGCCATGGGGAAATCTGTGTCTTTATTTAAACTCAAGACTGGACGTTGGGAGGAATTTCCACGAACCTGTGCTGTCTAAGGACACACCTTGGGGCTCATGGGAGGACTTATGCTCCTGGAAGAACCTTACTCAGAACTGACTCTAAAAATCCCCACACCCTCCGCTGGCTCCCTAGGTGCCCAGATGCCAGGTCATGGCTGGGGTCCTCAGCAGGTGGAACTCCCCCCAGGCCCCGCCCCCATAAACAGTGCGCGGGGAGATGGAGCAGCAAGGGAAGACTGAGTGAGGGGGAAAGCAGGCTCGTGTCCACCCCTGTCCCCTCTGCTGGTGACTGTGGGGCCAGGAAACCTGGGCCTTGACCCCACCTGGGTCATCAGTGCTGAATGTGAGATGGGGGCCGGTGGTTGGCACTGCGATCGCCCCCTCCCTCCCTGGGGTCCCCAAGGCCTCAGAGTCCAGGGAGCTGAGCATCATACTCCACAGCACGGCAGCGCCCTCAGCCTGGCTCCCCTCCCTGCAGGCAGCAGCCCGAGGAGGACTGGTCTCAAACCCTGGGTAGAAGGAGCTGCTGGCAGGAGTTGCCCCAGGTGCCCAGGTCAGCGTCAGACACAGAGTAATGGGGTCAAGGCATCCAGTTGCTGGGTCAATGGGCAGAGGATACACACCCCTCACTGATGGGCTATTAGTTGGGAGATAAAAGGGCAGCTCCTTCCTTCCTCACATTTTCCCACCGTGGACATTCCCCGAGTGCGTCACCAGGGGGCGCTGTGCGCGCCCTCAGAACTGGCGGAACCTGAACACACCAGATGGTCCCCAGACCTGGGCAGGTCCCCGGGCTCACTGGACTGAGTTGGAGGTCTCAGCAGGTGCTTCCTCTCAGGAGACAGACTCAGAGCCCTGACCCCTCAATCTCTGGGAATGAAGCTTTAAACAGAGCTGAGGACCCAGAATTAGAGGGCGTCCTGTTCAGGGTCATCAGACTGTACCCCCTTTCCCAGGAGCAGAGGGGGAGGAGCCCCAGAGCCGAGCCCCCGCATCCCTCCGCTCCCCCTGCCTCCTCTGGCTCCTCACCGCTTTCCTAAGGGCCCCTCCCCTCCTCTTATGATTCCTGGCTTTCCTACCCAATCCCGGGCTCCTCCTTATTACACCACCCGCCCATGAGATGTCCTCCAGACGCCCTCTCAGCCCTGACCCCTTAAGCAGCCAGAACGCCATGGACAGGCTCGTGCTGAAGCGTCTGAGGGGAGGCCACAGATAGCCCTGAGGTCATGGGGGACACAGTGGTGGGTTTAGCCCTAAGGAAGGGACAGTGCACGGAGCAGGGAGCAGGATCTGTCGGAGGGGCTCTGATCAGCAGGTCATAGCATGCGTATCTGGGCTGGACACCCGGGCGCTCGGGGGCCATTCTTGAGGGTTGGTGGGTGAGAGCTGGGCCCAGTCTCCTGGCGCTGCATGGTGGCTTCAGCTCAGGGTTCCCAGCTGTGACCTCCCACCCCTGAGGCCTCCACAGCCCTGCCCCTGCCCACCCTCTGGGCACCCTCAGACATAGGGACCTGATCCAGAGCCCAGGGAGGGGTCAGAGAGCTGCAGNAAAACTGTATCCTAGTAAATGAAAAATTAAAAGAGAACATAGATTTTCCATCAGTTTAATTCATGCACAGATTATAAGAAATGACTGTAGATTTTCCCTAATCCATTATCACTTTTTGGTTCACTTAAAATCTCACACACCCAGAATGTAATACCTATACCAGTGCAGGGCAAACTACAGTCAACTGGTCTTTTCGAGCCAATCACTTCGAACTCTGCCTTCTCTAACCTGCTANGCTCAGGGCTCCCAGCTGTGACCTCCCACTCCTGGGGCCCACAGAGCCCCACCCCTGACAACCTTCTGGCCGCCTCAGGCATAGGACCCGGTCCAGGTCCCAGGGAGGGGTCAGTGTGATGGACGGGATCATCTGCATGAAAGGACACTCCCCCTCTCAGAGTTTGAAGAGGGGAAGGAGCGGTGTGGGGATGCTCTGCTCAGCTGTGGGGTCCCAGACGGCAGGACGCCCTGACCATGTCCACCATGGCCTGGTCCCTTCTGGTCCTCACCCTGGTCGCTCTCTGCACAGGTGACTGGATGGCAGGACAGGGGAAGGGTCTTGGGCAGACACAGGGGCTCTGTTCCCTGCTCTCATGTCTGGGCCCCAGAGTCACCATCTCTGTCTCTCCCCCTTCCAGGATCCTGGGCCCAGGATGTGCTGACTCAGCCATCATCCGTGTCCGGGTCCCTGGGCCAGAGGGTCACCATCTCTTGCTCTGGAAGCAGCAGCAACATTGGGGGTGATAGTGTGAGCTGGTACCAACAGCTCCCAGGAAAGGCCCCCAGATTCCTGATCTATGGTGATGATACCAGAGCCTTGGAGATCCCAGATCCAATCTCTGGCTCCAAGTCTGGGAACTCGGCCTCCCTGACCATCACTTCGCTCCAGGGTGAGGATGAAGCTGATTATTCCTGCAGGTTTTACGATGACAGCTTGGATAGTCACACAGTGCTCCAGGCCAGGGTGGACGTGAGACAAAAGCCTGCTCCTCCGCAGTGCGGGGCTCCTGAGGCAGAGCCAGCCTCTGTCCAGGCAGCTACTTCCTTTGTATGTTCCCCCTAAAACTCAGGTGTGAGACCCAGAAAATTCTGTTCTCATCTCCATGATTCTACCCCACCCCATGTTTTTGTTAGGCAGCAACCCATTTTCTCGTCTTTTGAAATTGAGGAAAATCCCTGGATGCCCGTGGCAGGCGCCCTGGGGATGGAGTCCCTGCTGGTCAGGTCAGAACCAGAGGAACAAGAGCCCAGCTGTGCGTGAGTCGGGACACACCGAGGGTGCTGTGTCCACTCTGAGTCCTGCTCCCAACAGCTCCGCTCCTCTCTGACGCTAGTATCTGACCTTCGGGGGTCCCTGCAGTTCCAGGCCTCCGGACTGGAGTCCGGGCTCCGTGGCCATCCCTGGGCTGAGCTGAGGCCCAGGCTGCTGCTCCTGCTGTTTCTGTGACCGCCTCTCAGGCTCGCCCAGAGCTCCAGGCCTGTGGGTACTAGGCCAGGGCTCCTTTCCCTGTGGTGTGTGTGTGTGTGGGGGGGGTGCGTGGCTGCCTGGGAGTAGAGGCTCCTCCTCTCCCCTCTGTCCTCAAAGTCCCTCCCGCGGTCCATTTCCAGGAGAGTGTCTCAAAGGAAACAGATCGTCGATGTCCCCATCTCTGGGGATGCAGTGTCTCTTTGTCCTGAAGCTCAGGACCTGAGGTGGGGGTCACACTGAGGTCATCTCAGACCTGAACTCTGACTCGGAAGTCCTGAGTCTCCATCAGTGGGGCATCTGCCTGTTGCCAGAGCTCTGACCCCTCTCATCGGCCCTCACCATGAACGCCTCTGCTTTTTGCTCAGTGGAGAGATTACTTCAATTGTTGCTGCAGCGACACGAGAGCATCTAAGATGCATCTTACTTGGGTCTCTTGAAACAACTGCTTCCCCTTGTTCCTCTCTGCTAAGATCCACCACTGAGTCTCCCTGTTTAACCGCTTTGTCTAACACTTGCTGAATGAGGTTGAAGAATAATGGAGCAAAAGTCACACTGACTGCTCCTGATGTGAGGCATTTACAGGAATTACTGTCACCATGCACCAAGCAGAGATTAGTTGGTGCTTTTTCAATACACGTGTCACAAACCACCACACAAGGCGGTACACTGATGACATTTTCCTCCAACTAAAAAAAGTCTGTTCTATGCCTTCCTATTGAGGGAGTGAGTCCCTTAGTTGGTCACAGGTCGCGGGCCCCCCTGGTGTGGTCATCTTACTGCCCACGGGCTCCAGACCCAACCTCTACATTCCCACCTGATCCACTGCTTGTTACCTGTCCCCCAAATGGGACCTCAATGCTCATCATAACCCTACACACATTCTCTCTAGGATCTCCCACAGGGTTATGAGGGGTATGCCTACAAAAAGCCATTGGTTTTCTAGTCGCTAAAAATAAAGAAGCAAAAAGGATCATTTCAAAAATTCTTTTCATGATAGCATCAAAAATGATAAAATATTTAAGAATAAGATCATCCCAGTAGCTGAAAGCCTTATACACTGAAAAATAAAAAACTCGGCTGAGAAAGATTAACATAGAATTAAATGTGTAAGGAGAGACCTTTGATCACAGATGGGATGAGCTCATACGGTAAAAGTGTCCTCAGGCCTGCCCGGTGATCTGCACGTTCACAAGTACCGCATCACTTGTTCGCTTCTCCCAGTTTATCCCCTCAGGTCCACAGATCACCTCCCTCTGGTTCTTTGGGAGGAAGCTGGATAAATATCTGTCTTTGTGGACTTAGATCCCCACCACCTGGAATTCCACTCCATAGAAAAGTTGGGCATCAAAAAGTCTATACTGTAGTCTGAGGTGACCTGAAAGGAAAAACTATTGAGAGCTGGGGCCTCAGACACAGAGAGTGAGAAAAGAACATAATTACCAGTTCATCGTGTGAAGCAGGCCCTGTAGCAACAGCTCTGAGACGGACATGAGATCATAATTCCTTGCACAGGATGAGAACAAGAATTTGGTCTGTACTTCACAGCTTACTGCACACGTTTTCTCTTCCTACACTCCTGGTTCATCCTAGACCCCTTCACCTCTTCTACCCGTCCTTCTGCTCCACATAAGAAAACATAACAGACAGAGGATTTAAACTATTTAGACTTATTCAGACACAGTCTCATTTGATTTTCTGATTATGAATCATGCATTTTTCTATTATTCTTATCTTACATTTCTGAAGAATATAAAAATTGAATGCTTATATTATTATGGAATTTCTTTAAAACTGCGGGTACATTGAAAGTTCCCCAGTCCATTGATGATTTCTCAGCTCACAGGATAGCTACCCTCCCCACCACTCCGGGGGCTGGTGTGGGCGTAGGCACCTGCAGCCCTGATGCCCTGGATGGTTGTGACCAGCAGCGGTTTCACAGCCTGTGTGTAGGGAGGCCCTGTCTCCTCAAATGCCAGATGTGACTCTGTGGCTCCCTGTTTGGTTTCCTGATGAAGGAAGGGGCACTCACAGATCCTCACAAGGAGCAGGAAGCGATTCCACTGGGGAGGGAGGAGAGGTTCACAGTCACGGGGGGACTGGTGGTGTTGGGGTGAACAGGATCGCTGGGGCAGGAAGGGGAGCACATCCATTATCACTCAGCCTCACATCTGCAGGGAAGGATTCAGGTTTGAGAAACGAAGNCTCTCCCTTCCAGGATCCTGGGCCCAGGCTGTGCTGACTCAGCCGTCCTCCGTGTCCGGGTCCCCGGGCCAGAGGGTCAGCATCACCTGCTCTGGAAGCAGCAGCAACGTTGGTTGTGGTAATAATCTGGACTGGTACCAACAGGTCCCAGGATCGGCCCCCAGAACCCTCATCTATCGTGCTACCAGTCGAGCCTCGGGGGTCCCCGACCGATTCTCCGGCTCCAGGTCTGGGAACACAGCCACCCTGACCATCAGTTCGCTCCAGGCTGAGGATGAAGGGGATTATTACTGTGCATCTTATGACAGCAGCAGCAATATTGGCACAGTGCTCCAGGCTAGGGGGGAAGTGAGACAAAAACCTGCTCTCCCCCAAGTCATGGGCCTCCTGGGGCTGAATCATCTTCTGCCATAGTAGCCACTTCTGCTGTTTGTTTTATTTAAAACTGGGGTCTGAGCCCCACACCAGGAGCTTTGTCCCAGGAATCCTTTCAGATCTTCTTCATTCTTTCCCATTCCCAAGCCTTTTCTTTGGCAACCACATATTATATGATTATATAAAATTGAGCAGAAGACCCTGAATGCCAGAAGCAGGTCCTGGCAGACAGAGTCCCTGACAGTCAGGTCAGAACCAGAGGGACATAGTCCAGTTCTATCTCATTCAGGACACTTCAGCTCCTTGGCCATCCCTGGGCTGAGCTGAGACCCAGGCTGCTGCTCCTGCCTTTCCTGTGACCGCCTCTCAGGCTCCCCCAGAGCTCAGGCCTGGGGAACTAGACCAGGTTCCTCTCCCACTGGGGGCGCTGGGGCAGCCCAGGGGCCTCCTGCTGAGGCTCTGCTGGACCTTCTGCTGCTGCTGCTCCACCCTGGGTCCAGGTCATCGGGGGCGCTGCCTGAGCATGGAGGCTCCTCCTCTCCCCTCTGTCCTCAGAGTCCCTCCAGCAGGCCATTCCCAGGAGAGGGTCTCAAGGGAAACAGAAAGTCTATGTCCCTTACTCTGGGGATGCAGCAGCTCTTTGCCCTGAAGCTCAGGGATTGATGTGGGGGTCTTGCTGAGGTCGTCTCTGACCTGTGAGGCCCCCACTCTGCCCCTCACGCCTGTCTCCTGCCCAGGGAGAGAGTCCTGCTCTTGGCCTCCTCTGTGTCCCCTCACAGTGAGCAGGGCTCGGGCAGGGTGGACTCAGCCACCTGCGGTGACTATGTCCCCAGCACAGATGGCCACATTCACCGTGCTGGAAACATCAGCTATGTTGGCGCTGAGGGGGCAGCTTGGCTGTAGCCACACCCTGGTCACGTCCCCAAACTCGTGACCCTGAGGAGTCCCAAGCTGTCCCCAGGGTCTCAGAGAGGCTCTGGGCTCCAGGTCAGGCTCACAGACCATCTCTGGCTACAGCCCGAAGTGGAGACTGATTGTTCCTGCTCGGCTGGGATGGCAGCCTCGCTGCTCACAGGGGGCTTCAGGCCAGGGGCTGAAGTGAGCCCCGAACCCTGAGCTCCCGGGCTCACCCGGCTGGTGGGGCTCACGGCGCACTGTCTCCTGCCTCACGAGACCAGACAGGGCTCCCACGGACACCGCTGAGTGCAGTGGAGCGGGTCAAACATAGTCATGTCGGTGGCACAGCTGGGACCTGCACAAGGAACCAATGTACGTGGCCAATGTCACTGAGTGGATCTGAGTCTATAGAAACATTCGCACCTCCACAGGCAACAAAACTTAGTAAAGAAGGGAGTTCGGGCTGTATAAGCGATATTATTGCACCTGACTTTCCTGTTTTATTTGGGAGAGCTTGAGGCACAGGCTCAGAGCGTCCACATCTTCAGCCTTCAGTGGCCATTCACCAGGGTCACCAGCAGCCACCATCCCCCTTCTTCTGAAGTTGCCGTATGTCCCGACCTTTGACCTCAGGACTCTTCAGTCTCTGCAGGGAGATCACGTGACTCCTCCCTCATATCCAATTGACCCATCACAGCTTTGTCCAGGCTCCTCTGAACCGACCTGGAGCTCACCACAGCCTGCACACAGGAGACCATCATGAGTTATTCCTTCTGTTCCCTGTGGCTGACATTTCACACTCACGTACAAGGTCTGCACAGCAGGCAGGGCTGAGATGGGGGACCACAGGTAACAAAGATGCACGTTGGAATATGGCTGGTTTCCATGGAGATGAGAGTCCCAGGGAGAAAGCATCCCTGTGCCCAGGGAGGACCGAGAAAGGACCCTCAGCCCACTCTCCTGGGGGGACTATCAGCAATGCCTGCTGCACAATGAGCCACCCTGCATGGGGGCTGGGACATCCCAGGAGCTGGAGGAGGTGAAGCAGGGGGCGCAGTGCAGAGGCCCACAGGGCGAGCTTGACCAGACAGTGGGAAACCACTGAGGGTGCTGGGAAAAACTGTCCTCCCTGAAGGGGAGCTTCGTCCCTGTGAGGCCCTGGCCCTGGGGCTCCTGGTCAGTCCCCACGCAGCTCCGATTCGGGTCCCTCCTCCTCGTCCACGTGGGCTCTTGGTCAAAATTCCGTCAAGGGGGGGCTGCTGGAAGGTGAGAGGTCAGGAGGTGTCTCCAAGGAGGAGGTGGCTCCTCAGAGAGTCTGCGTGGAGGACAAGAAACAGCTGTGGGCCGGGGCCCCGCGGGCGTCCTGTGAGGAGTTAGGTGCCTGTGAAAAGTGCGTATCAGCAGCTTACAAATATATCATTTGCTTCTATTTCATGAGCTCTTTGCTATTACTGCTGTGAAATTTAATTTTAAAATGTATTATAAAATACAACTTGTATATTGGA